GTGTCACCCCACAGAACATGGCCCCGACGTGCCTGCGGCCCCTGCTGAGGTTCCGCTCCTTCGCCATCCTCTTCCTCACGCCGCTGCTGCTGCTGCCGCTGCCGCTCGTTGTGTCCACGCGGGTAAGTGCCTGCGGGGCCCCTGCGGGAGCGGAGCTCGGCTCCGGCCCTGCTCCCGGTGGCTCCCACGCACCCAACCCACCGTGCCAGTTAGGTGCAATTCATTGTGGGCCGAGACAAACCCGTGTGTAGCTGGCGCGTTTGGAATTGTCTGCATCGTGTCGTAGCGATTGGAGGGGGCTGAAGGGCTCAAGTGCGTCCCCCAGCTCTCTGCTGAGGCTCTGGTACTCCCAGCATGTTGCTTGGTGACATTCTCCATCCTGATGCAGTCAGGGTTGTGTTGTCTGAATTGGTCAGGATTTCAAATGCCATGTCCTCCAGTTCACCCATCTCACTCCAGGGATGGCGATGGCACCATTCCTTTGCGTTCAGTGGAGTTACACCGGCATAAAATTGGAATAACCCAGGGAAGTTTGGGGTTTAATGCCTTGTAGCCTTGATCAAGTGTGACAGCACAGTTTGCAGTATTTTTGCCTACTAGAGCTTTGGAGGCTATTCTAATGCTAAAAACAGCCTTTCTTTTGAGAAACTTGCATCGCTCAGTCTGGTTTAAAGTACAGGAAAATTTTATCTTGTGTTTATAAACCAAATGGCCAACCCTTCTTTAAGTTATACCAGCCTAGCCTTTCAGTTGAATGGTGGTACTTTATATAATTGGGAATCCTGACTTTTAAGCTCTACTTTGGCCAAAACTAGGAAAGGTCATTTCCAAAAGAATAAGTATGTCTTCAGTTTGCCATTATTTCTAGGCATATTGTGTCATTAGTCTAACCTAAGAAATTACAATATTTCACAATGGGAAAGCAATATTTCTGTCAGGGACTGCTTTTTCATGTTTCAGCCACGAGGCAGGTCACTGTGTTTTGTGTCAACTGTACAGAAACACCAAAGAGACCTTCTGTGACCGTTCCCATAAATCACAGATAGGTATAGGTATAAGTACAAATATATATTTAATTCCAAATCTTTGGTTGTTTGAATTTGCCATGGTTGTTGGAGTTAATTTATAAGCATCATTGTATTTTTGAGCTTCACATAAATTATTTCCTCTCTACTCTCTAAAACCAGTGTTTTGAATTTTATTCACTTAGAGTTGTTTATCTGTCTTTCATACTAGCAACAGATTAACCATGGTCAGTTCTAGCCCTGCATTACTGCAGCTTATGAATTGTATCATAAGCTGACTTTATATGTATAAAGGAAAGAGCCTTCAACAGGATCTGCCTGATATCTTCTAGTCTCTGAAGAATTTTTCCTCTCACAATTTGTGCTGTAATTAATCGGGAAAGTTGAGGGGAGAAAAATTCAAATTACTTACAAAAGGTGTTTTCTGGTTCTTAAGCTTCTCAACAAAATTAAGCAAAACACAGTCCTACATACTAATATTACCTGATGTCAGTTTTTAAGTGTGACTGTCACCCCATTTATTTTAGCAATAAAGTCACATTTGTTGTATTAGAATAAAATCCTATAAACACATGCCCTGAATAGGAGCAAATACTGAACTACAGAACACTGACTTCAGCTTTCAAACAGTTCACTGTTAGCTAATGAATGCTTGCTTCTCCTGACAATTTTTAGAGTATAAACCACAGAAGTCTGGGATACAGAAATGCCTGATTGAAAGCCCAAAAAGACAGTTTGCAACAATTCTAAACTAGGGAATCCCCTTAGCAGGTAGTGACAGTATGATTTGGGAAAGTAGTTTAATACCTCTAATGTGCTTGGTCACAACAACAACAACATATATATATATATATATATATATAAGAGTTTTACTTTAGGAGTTACTTCACAAAGCAAAGAGCTTTTAAATTATTCAATGAAATAGTTTCTGAGTGTTACTGGGCATACATCAGAAATTGTGAATTTCAGGCAAGCTAATCATCCACACTGGGAAATTTGGCCATCCATTAAAAAAATTAACTCTATATTGCTGTTCTTGGCTCCTAGGTGTAAAATTTGCTGACCTCAACCACCAAGAGGTACTTTCACAGGGCAAACTGTGCACTTACCTAGTGGTGGAAGATTTATTTTTCTCACAGCATTTATTTTGTGTGGATGTATTAAAGCAAACATTACGGCCTTCTTAGTCAAAAAAATCCTTTTATATAAGTGACTTCAAAACATGATTTAAAAGTGCAAGTTTAAGTCCTCATTCAGTGTAACTTGTTAAGCTACAGACAGTGGAGTGTGTGAGCCACTTGTAAGAGCTACCAATGTGTTTCTTATCTTTAAAAACAGTTTCTAATGCTTAAGTGTATCTTCTATTATGTTGCAGGAGGCCAGATGTGCATATATCATCATCATCATGGCTGTGTACTGGTGCACTGAAGTGATCCCCCTGGCTGTCACCGCCCTCATTCCAGTGGTATTTTTCCCTCTGCTTGGAGTTCAGACTGCTAAAAAAGTAAGGAACTCATGCAATCCAGATCTGATACAGAGAAATCCAGTGCTCTGATCCCCCACCAGTATTTAGCCAACGAGTCTGTACTAGTGTTCAGGGTTCTTATATGGGAAGATGCTGAACTACATACACATTTGCCCAAACTCAAAGTGGGAGGCTTGAGGTGGTAGAGGAGAGGGTCTGTTTTGGGCATGGATCCTGCAGGAGAGCATCCCACTCATGCCAGCAGTGTGTGTGCTCCCAGCCTATGAGGAAGTAGTGCTGTCAGTCTTCTGGGAGATCTCAAAATGCATGGGATGAACTTCTGAGAGGATAGATGGCATGGTGCCAGAAGGTATGCTGTGTCCTCCCCAGATCTCATCCTGGGCTGTTTGTGCTGGAGGCACAAGACACAGGCTACATTCAGGTTCTGTACCCCAGGTTCACTACTGTCCAACAATCTAGTAAAGGCAGGTATGGTTGCTGAAGATGCTGAGAGAGTCCTTTTGGAGCTCAATATTTCCAGCGCCTTCCATACTTTGAGCCCCCAAGTATGTTTCAGGAAGCTGGTGTCATTTTGCACAATGATGCACAAAGGTTTCTTGCACAGGTGAGTCAGCAGTTACCCAGGAGATCGAGGGTCCAGGAAACTGCAGGGAGCTCTCAGGCAGCAGCTGCCTCTTGTTCCAGTGTTGGCTGGGGCCTGGTCCAGTCCATGGATTTGAGAGGGTGGTAGGCAAATTGTACTAGTGAAATAAGTATTTTGGCCTGATGTACTTTCTCTGTCTTTCAGGTGTGCTTTCAGTACCTAAATAACACAAACATGCTCTTCCTTGGAGGGCTGATTGTCGCAATTTCTGTTGAGCAGTGGAATCTTCACAAAAGGATTGCACTGAGAGTCCTTCTGATTCTTGGGGTGAAACCTGCACTGTAAGAATATTACGTTGTTTTTTCTTACCATTTCTCAGTTTAGCAGAGGCCTGGTGATGGCATTTAACAGTTGACAGAGAAAGGAATAATTGCCAATTCAGCTGTACTTTCACAGTTTCCGGAAGTGAAGTCTAGCAAGAGGAACAGTTTATTTGTCCTTTATCCAAAACTAGTATCTGACTGAATTTTAGAGGCTTGCCTTTGGGGACAAAATTATGACAGGCTTAATCATGCACTGGGATTCCTTCAGTAAAGGTGGGAGAGCTGTCCTAGAAGGGAGTCACTGTACTAGTGGATGCTGCACACATCCCTGCCTGGGCTTTGCTCTCCAGATTACGGTGACTGCAAAGCCTAGCAGCATCTGTTCACTTTCTTCCTCTCCTCTCTGTCTTTCTCTCTTTTCAGCCTCATGCTGGGATTTATGGTAGTCACTGCCTTCCTGTCCATGTGGATAAGCAACACAGCCACCACTGCCATGATGGTTCCCATTGTCCAGGCTGTTCTGGATCAAATGGACAGCACGGAGTATGATGTGACCATGATGGAACAAGCAACTGGGCAAACAAATGCAGTGATTGAGCTGGAGGAAAAGAGCACATCAGAGTCCACTGCAGTGCACGGTAAGGGCCTTCTCACCAATAAGCTGATGCTACTGAACTTGCTACACAGCACTCCCCTACCTAGGAGTGCTGTGTACCCTTTCCAAGGAAAGAGGTTGGTAACCTGACCTAAAATTCCTTAAATACATGACATTTAGGTTTTACAAAATAGCTTTCAATTTTGATGGCTACCATTTTGTGTGCTAGTGCTAGATCCCAGACAGGTTGTTATGTTATTTTCTTCGAGCTGTAGTCATCCTCCCACAGTTTCCCCAGGCTTAACCACTTGTTTAGGGAAGTGAAGAGCATATCCTGTGGGAAATAACAATCTCAACCCCCAGCATACTATTTTCTAAATCTTGTGATTATCAATGGGGATTCAGCTTCTAGGTTGATATAGGACTATCTGAAAAAATTATGTAAACACAATCTATTTTAGTTCTAGGGTAATAAATACCTCTTTATTGACCAGATTTTATGTGGAGGTGGGGAGAAGAAAGAGAACTACTTTAAAAGCCACATGGAAAAGAAGATAAGGTGTAATTTGACTTGCAGTAGACAAACTGTTCTTGTGTGTGATCTTACACTGATGCTTGATTCCTTAAAGTCCTCTGCCAATGCTGTGGTTCTGCAATAGGTTTCACTTCATTTGAAATATGCGCCCAAACTCAGACCCTCTCATTTCACTGCTCTGCTGTGCTGTTACAGAGGGCTATATTATTAAATATGATTAAAGATCAGATTCCAAGTGTAGTGAAGATAATAAGAGTGTGCAAAAAATACCCTTTAACATTGTTGAGTTGGTTATAATTGCCATAAATTCTTTGTCCTATTCCATTAGTCTAGTCTGACTTCAAGATTTAGAGTGTTAACCTCAGAGAACAATGGACAAAGCAATAAAGTTTCATGACATAATGCCAAGCAAGGATGTGGGTTTCAGTAGGGCTTTTTTCTGCCTATATTCATATCCGTTAAAGGTAGTTGGGTTCTCACTATGGAATTGGAATTGTTCCAGTGACTGTGATGTTTGGCTGGTGGTACACCTCTCTGTGAAACAAGACATTGCTGATGAGGAGCTGTGGCCCTGATGTGGGCAATAGCATCCTTGGATCACGTAAACCCAGACTGTCAGCCTCTTGCTCTGGCCCCTCATGAACATTAGTCTGAAGTATTTAGGGAGATATCTGTGGGTTTTTCAATTAAAATTATTGGCATATACAAACTGGAAGCACTAAGCCTACAGACCCTATCCTGAATTCTCTGTCTTTCCTTTACCTTTACCTGCAGCAAATAATTTTCTTTCTGCCTAGTTATAAGCAATGAACAAGTCCCTGATGACCCCAGATCTTCTGAGGAACAGAAAATAAAGAAGCGTATATGCAAGGGAATGACACTTTGTGTATGCTATGCTGCCAGCATTGGAGGAACTGCAACACTTACCGGAACAGGACCAAATGTGGTACTGAAAGGCCAGATGAATCAGTAAGTAATTTTTGCTTTTTCTTTTAGTTACATTGTCATACTGTTTATGTGACCAATTGACTGGTCTTAGATGACAAATTAATTTGTGAGCTTCGAGCAGTAATTTGAGGCACTGAGTCTGAGAAATGTGTATGAAGTGTTGGGCCTCATCTTTTTTGCTTCAGCATCTTTTAAACAGAAGCTATGTGATGGAATTAAATTCTTCTGAGAAAACTGGAAATACATGTTGACAATCGACATGCAGGTGGTTGATTATGAGATATTGGTTCTTCTGTGTCCTCTCTTTCAATTGAAAAACAGCACATCAGAAGAGGAACTGCAGTAACGAGCACCAGAAGAATGTAGATTAACTCTGCTCATAAGCACACTGAAGAGAGCTAGAAGGAGCTTGGCTCCTCCTGTAGCAGCGTTCCTCCATGCTGTGGTTGTGGAAACTGCAGTTGTGTTGTTCTCTCATTGCTAAACTGAGTTTGGGAACTGATCTACATGGAACCCAGTCTGTGGTGGAAATTTTCCAACATTGCTTCCTTGTGTTGCAAGTACTTCAGCCTCAGCTGCTACATTATCTGTTGGTTTTAACACCCAGCTGGAAGTTTGCTATTGATATTTTTCCTCCTATCATTATCAGCAAACACAGAGAATTACAAAAATTGCCTTTCTTAAAACGCTGTCTTCATTCTTTCAAGCCAACTAGCAACTTTTTCATCTGTTGAAGGCAGCAGAAGTATAGTTATTAATTTCAGGAAAGACATTTCTTCCTCTCTTATTAGCATGAATTGGGAGGAAGAAAAAAATATCCTGTCTTGGGATAAATGAACAGGCATGTTGGAAGTGAAAGGTATCTAGGAAGTATGTGAGGTCTTTCAGCCACACTTGTCTGACTGAGACCCAAAATATCCACATAAGCTCCTATATGCATCAAAGTATAACACAGGGAAAACTTACAATCATTTAAGTTATGCTCTGAAATCAGGCTGCCTTCTCCCATGACTTAAGTTAGGCTGTGGATGTTACCTATGATTGCTTGTAATGGTTGTCCTAGATTTACATGCATAATTGTCACTAGCACATATTAAAGGTAGAGTAGATTACTAAATGTTTTGACATTCATACAGAAAGTCATTTCTTCACAGGTTATACCCCAACAATAATGATATTGTGAATTTTGCTTCCTGGTTTGGATTTGCATTCCCAAACATGATTGTGATGTTGGCACTAGCTTGGCTTTGGTTACAGTGCTCCTTCATGGGACTCAAGTGAGTATTCATCTACACAATATTGTGTAAACCCCTAAGTAAGTTAGTTAGTTTACTGAGATATCTGGCTAAAACAAATGCGCTGACAAGTTATTAATTTTGTAGCAGAGAGTAGGTTCATTTCACAGAAATTTTGAGGTCTGAAAACATTTTATGTTCATGGGAGGTACATTAAGGCAAAAGCCTTATACATTCTTAATCTTCAGACAGAATTGCCTTTCTGCTTTTCAATCTCTGACCTGTGAGTTTCAACCCTAGGAGAGCCAGCATAGCTGGTTTGCAGCCATTGATTCAAACCTGACTTTTTCATCCCAGGTTACTCCAAATTGCCATCCTTTGATAGACTCCATTGTTCTGTGAGAATTGGTGTGTTCCCACAAAATGTTTTGGCACTGTTGTAGTTTATAGCCTCTGCTGTGGTCTGTGTCTGTCCCCCAGAGTTCAGAGTGATAAGGATGTTAAATCTCTCTAATATATTGATACTTACATTATTTTTTCCCATTTTTCTCAAAGCTTAAAAAAAAACTGGGGCTATGGGACAGAGAGAACTGCAAAAGAAAAAGCTGCATACAATGTGCTGAAGGAAGAAATGAGAAAGTTAGGCCCTGTCTCTTATGCTGAATTAAATGTCTTCCTGTTGTTTTTATTGCTGGTGCTCTTGTGGTTTACCAGAAACCCAGGCTTTGTAAAAGGCTGGGCTGCCAGGCTCTTCTCAGGAGGAGACAAGTAAGTTTTTAGGGTTTTTTTCCATCTTTTACCGTCTTGGTTATTAATCAGATTCTCTTGCTCATACATTCCATTTTGAATGTGGGGTCATTAATTCCAACTTTACCTGACTTAACATGTTTGCTGGGCTTGATCCAATGGCTTGTACATGACAATACCAATCACCTATGATTTGACAGTTTGTACTGCAGTGAAAAGGTTAGAGATTGAGACATGGAGCAAGCTGAATCTTCTAAAAGAAAATTCTGTTATGCTGCTCTCAGTCACACTGATGCACACCTTGGTATTTTGTTTGTATGAGCTCCAATCAGTTGCAGTTGCATTTGAGTATTTGGTAATATCACCTTTAACCAATACCTTAGAACTCACTGGAAAATTGATTTTGTGCTTTGAATGGCTTCTTTGCATAATGTTCGTGCGTGGCATGTTAGGAACATAAAATACATGTTGGGACTATCATTCAGACCATTTCTTTAGATGTCTGTCTTTGCGATACAACTGTTGAGTCTTGGCTTCAGCACAGAGAAGGAGCCCTGCTCCATGAGGGATGAGTTGTCATCCAGAACTCTGCTTTTTAACATGTATTGTAGTATTGTAGCATGTTTCTTTTATTATTGTGTTTATATTATGGCAGGTCTGAGAGACCTCAGACATGAGTTAATGACCCATTTTTTTCTAACCCCAAATGGGATGGCAAAAATCAGTGACTAGAATGCTAGAAGGCAGACCTTTTCTAGAAGAAAGGTGTTCATTTTCTAACCAGTATTCTCTTTTCTTCATTAGGTATATCACTGATTCTGTTCCTGCTATGTTTGTTGCCCTGTTACTGTTTGTGCTTCCTGCTCATAAGCCCAAATTAATAGCCTGGAATCAAAGCATGTCTGACCCTAAAAAGACTGAAGAAGGTATTCAAAAGAGGGACTGTAGTACTGTGAAACAGCTAACCCACTCAGCTAACAAGGCAGAATCATGCACTGGATTTGCATGCAGTTCTTTAGAGCAGGTCACCTACCTCCCTTGTTGGGAAGGGCTGGGGCACAGTATGTGCTCATGTGTGTTACCCTCACTCTGTGCAGACTTCTCACGTACTGTGCATCTGCCCACCAGTATCTTATAGAACAGGAGACAAAGTGTCTTCACTCTCCTAAAACATGTTCTATTTTTCATTTCTCACTTCAGATATAAAAAAGCCATTTTTATCAACCTCGCTGCTAGAATGGGATGTGGTTCAAAGGAAGATGCCCTGGAGCATTGTGCTGCTGCTGGGAGGAGGTTTTGCTTTAGCTGATGCAAGCGCAGTATGTACTGACATCTGTTTTTCTCTGACTCAAAGGAGAACTTCCCTGGTTTGTTATCTGGCCCATATTACTGGGCATGCACCCAAAGCCAAACCCAGTAGCAATGTTAGGATCTGGAGGGAGATCTAAATTAGCGAAAACCAAGGAGAGGTGAATGCTTGTGAGTCTTTTCCAGGAATTTTTGTTTTCTGCCCAAATTTCTTTAATTTATCTTACTGCTTGGAGACTGACGAGTAGGTTGAGATCTTCACTGTCTGGACAGTCCAGAAAAGAATACTTTCTTATTTCTGTAATCATCCCAATCACAGCCCTGGCTAGAAAAGTAGAAGCATAGATAACACTTGTCAGATTTTCAGAACCATTTGAGGTTTGTTTAAAGGTTATATATCTTCAGACTTAAAGCAAAACCACTGCTGAAATGGTCAGAAAGAAAATCTGGGTTGATGCTGTGTTCATAAATTCACAGAAAAAGCAGCTAATTCTTAAAACAGGAAGGAATTTTGAGGTGAGACATATTGTTGCCTTCATCACTGCTAAAATGCATCTAAATCAAAGCAAGCATTAGCTGTCAGTAGTGCAATACTTTGGGGAAAGTTATGTCACATCTTTAGTTTTGTGGCTAATTAGGTTTTAACCATTGGGCAAATTAAAGCTCTGGGCCTTACATTCATCTTTATACATCACACATAAATTAATAAAGCTCCAGAGCATTAAAAACTAGCAAGTCAGAGATATTGTAACCTGTTAGTATCCAACTACTGACTGTTTTCCTACAATAGAGCATTCATACAGAATCATAACCTTCAGAAACCTTAGAAAAATGTGCCTAGAAGCTTTCTGGGCTATAAATTAGTCTTTGCAATGACGTCAGAAAAGTTTTCTTGTTTAGTCAGAAAACCATAATTTTGTAACCTATGTGTGAGCAAGTATTTGATTTCCAGAAGAATCAGAAAAGTGTGATTCAGTGTTATGTCTAGTTGGCAAGGAATTTCTTTTTGCTTTTGTGACAAATTATTGTACTTTCCTGGATGGTGTTTGTATAATTCAGGACTCCTTTAGCATTATTAGAACAGGAATGTTGCCCATAACATGGCTTCCTTGTTTGCGAGTCAGGGTTTTAAACCTCCCTGAAACCCACTTTTTTTCTTGCAGAACTCTGGGCTCTCAGCTTGGCTGGGTCATCAGATGACTCCCCTGGGATCTATCCCACCATGGGCCATTGCAACAGTGGTCTCCCTTATTATAGCTGTCTTCACTGAATGCACCAGTAACGTGGCCACAGCTACCCTCTTCCTGCCCGTCTTTTCATCCTTGGTAAGATTGCTTCTGTCCTGTTACCCTGGCAGCTGGGGGATCAGAGTTAAACTGGGTGGCAAAGCAATATTATTATTTAGTGTCTTGGATGTTGCTCCAGTGTACTTAAACGGAAGCCAGGTCATGCCTTCTGTAAGGCATGTGCTTTGGCCTTGGAGAAAGTGAGTGACAGTCACTTTTTCAATGCAGGTCAGAAAACATCAGTTACTTCTAGTCAGTTTGAACCATCAGCTTAGAACTGGAAAAACACATACACACACACACACACATAAAAAATCCAAACCAAAACAAAATCCAGAACTTTCTGTTGATGCCATTGAATTACTCATCTTCACATTTTGTACTAAAATACTCAAAGTGGTAGGCCTGATTATTAGAAATGTGTAATTTCTCATAGGAGCCCAGAACAATTTTAAAACTTAGGGAGGAAAACCTGGTAAGTTTTGCTGCCTTTCCTCAACAGAAATGAAAATGTGGCACAAAGAGAAAAATAGGTTACTTTGTCCTTTAATTAGAAAAGGACAAGCACTTTATTCTAGACTATTTCATCAAAACAAAATTACCCCAATCAAGGTACTGAGCTAATAATGACTTAATTTGGCACTTAAGTTTTGAGTCCCACAGGGACTAAAGTCTAAGAGTGTCACTCCACGTGCCTAGTAATTATAATTCCCATTCCTGGAAAAAGGGTGGTCCGAGGTTAAAGAAAAGATTGTTGGATATATTTGACCAGAAATCCAAATTATACCATAGAACAAAGCAAACAAGAAGAAAGAAGCAAGTGTTGCTTTTAAGTATCATGGGACAGGAAACAACAGCAAGTTATCTTTAAGCACATGTGGATTTCAGAATAAAATGTGAATTATTCTGGTGATGTAATGCAAGGAAACAAAATAAGCCTGTGTATTTCAGTGGTCTGGGGTAGATTGATCATGTATGCTTTTCTTTTTTAATACCCCCAGAGTGATATTCTCTCCATTTCATTGCAGGCTACATCTATCAAGATCCACCCTTTGTATGTTATGGTGCCTGCTACTCTTAGTGCTTCATTTGCCTTCATGCTACCTGTTGCAACACCACCAAATGCAATAGTGTTTTCTTATGGCCACCTCCGTGTTTTGGATATGGTAAGATAATTGTCTTCTCTCTTATCTGAAATTCTCCATTGCTTTCTTCCTGAAATATGGTGAGAGTTTAATTTTCTTTGCAGAGTATTTGCAAAGGACCAGGAAGCTCTTATGGGCTGTGACTACCACTCTATGGCCTTCTCTTCTGCAGTATTAATATTGTGATAAAAATTTGCATCTGTGAAGTAACAGTACTTTTCTCACAGGCTTTGGCAGATATACTGACTGGCCCAAGTGAAATTAAAAACTGACAAGTCATAAGTCTCTGAAACCTGAAGGGTTAAAGTGCAGGCATGCCCTGCAGTGTTCTGGGGCTTTGGCGAGTGTCTAAAGCCTTGTCTCCACTGGAGCTGAAAGCAGAAGGTAGTAATCAGTAACCCTTGGCTCTGGTCCTCTGATTTTCTGCCAGACCACACAGGGCAGGTTCTGGGCAGAACACACAAACATTACTGGCTTTCTAACTGGGTACTTGAAGAGCACATAGGCTGTCCTCTTAACTAGTAAGAAAGACTTGTTACACATGCCTTAAAGCCCCTAGACTGGTTATATTCATAGCAAAGTGCTCAAAGACTTTGCACAGTGTGTTCCCTGGTGTTTCCACCTAAGCAAGAGCAGAAGGTGATGGATACAATGGCTATTTCTGTGACTTACTTGACTGAATTCCGTGACTATGTACAAGTATGTCTTGCTGCAGTTTGCTGTGTTGGTGTTTGAATGTTGCTGGTTTGGACTTGCTGTGCTGGTGTTTGGTTATTGTTGTTGGCTTGGATTTTTTTCCTCACAGGTTAGAACTGGAATAGTGATGAACCTCATTGGAGTCTGCTGTATCACGCTGGCCATCAACACATGGGGAAGACCTGTATTTGGGCTGGACACATTCCCAGCCTGGGCAAACAGCACAGCAGACCAGTGAGCTGTGAAGAACTCTTGTGTTAAATGAGGAAAGTACCTTTAGTAGTCCCTATTGCCTAAAGTCCTGTATAGAGTCTCATCACCACTTCAGATCCAGTGCTGGGTGTTTGCTGCCTTCCAGCAATCACCAGGTTTGAACCAACCCAATCTTACTCCACTTGTGATGGAGACAAAAGTGTTTGCAATTATACAACCTTATGTGTTGAGCTCATAAGTATGATCAAGTGATCCATTGTACCTCCAATCAAGGTCAAGAATTAGGATTTATCAGACTTTCAATAAAGAAAGGGGAGGCTGTTGTATCAAGTGGTTTGAGCTATTATATCACTGGTATGTACTTGTAAATCATTAACATTGAACATTACACTCAGGCAGGGGCTGAACATTCCTTACATCCTTGTATCCTGAGCATTCCTTGTATCTACAAGTCAGAAACTGTACAGAGAAATCTCTGTTGTCACTTGTCTAGTGAAGAAGGGGGTACATGATGTTATGTTTTAGTTGGTCCTCAGCCATGTGGTGGGATTCTTCCAAGTCAATATCCAGCACACTTTCTCTCACCTTTTTTCATTCCCAAGTCTCAGTGCATTTAAACACCTTTACTGAGGATTGAGATAACATAATTCCATGCTAGTCATGATTCAGCTGATTCTCAGACAATGATGCACTAAGGTTGGCTCTGTGTTTCTTGTGGCAATTAGAGGCAAGGGAGCCTTTCCCTCAGTCACAGGTGTGATTTCACATGCCATCCAGTGTTTTCTAGTGGTAGCTTGGAGATGACCAGTGGCCCATAGGACTTCACATCTATCGCAGAAGTTCCTGAATTGGCTCCTGATGTGCCTTAATTAATAACTCTGCAATTTTTGAGTGAAGCCAAGACATGAGAAAGGCTCTTATTAATGCCCTGGGAAAAAACTGATGGACCCAGATTCTAGTCTTGTGCATGTGCTGGCTGACAGCAGTGGGAGTTACCTGGTGTACTTTGGAATTAGTGTCTCGTGAGAAAAACAGTTTTTAACCTATTTATGCCATTTCTGTTGCAGAAGTAGTCCACAGAATTATTGGTGTTGGGCTGGATGTATTTTGACATTTCCTTCAGCCCTGGGGGATGGTGGTGGGTGGGAGGTAAAGCAGTGTCTTGCAGTGGAAAGATCTGTGGGTATGACCTGGGATTTACTCCTAGACATCCCCATGCCAGTCAATTCACCTCTTTTTTGCCTATTTTCCCTCCTAAAGAAGATGTTCCGGAACCTATCTACCTCACCAAGGTGTTGTGAGGACATAAGGGGCAAATTCTGCAGCCATAGTGATTCCCACCATGATAACAGGTGCAAGGTGTTAAGTTATAGAACAACAGAATTCTGTCTAGAAGATCAGGCATATAGCATAGTACTGTGTGTAGGATATTTCATAGTTCTTTTATTAATGTGAGTTTTCTTTATGGAACTGGAAAAATACATTTTTATCTAGAAGTGAGGGAAATATTTATCCATAAAATGAACAGGTGCTTTTTTGAGCAGAAAACTGCTTCAAGAATTGATTTCTGTGCCTTTATCTTTTGTATTCTTTCATGGTGCTAAGCACTATAAACTGTCTGATGAATGTTGTTCCTGAGTCCCACCAATGGCTTCTTGTTTTCCCAGTTGGCTGCATGTGGTGCAACCTCACACTTCTTCCAGGGAATGGTGGAGCATGTGGATAAACACACTTCCACTTGCAGAGTCTATCTAAGGAAGAGGCCAGTTCTAGTGCCAAGAATTGGCTTGCTTACAGATATTTGTCACCACCTGAAACTTAACAGAGTATTTTTTTGAAGAAAGTGAACAGTTGAACACCTTCTGTCCTTTGGCAGTCACCACTTAATGCTGATTTGCATCTCTAGATATCTAAATGCATTTGAGAAAGGGACTTTCTCTGCTTTTTGATGGACTTTCACAGTGTGAGAACATGTTATTTTTGCCAGATACATGGTGCTTGCTCTGTCTGACAAGTAAGATACAGGGGAGCTTGCATGGGTAGATGACACTGAACTTGGCTCAGTTCGTGCAGATAATAATTCCTCTAAAACCGGTTCCAACTAAAAGCTGTAGGATGGACACTTCACTGTCCTGTTTGCAGAAAATAATGCTCTGAAAGTTTCTTGAAGGGGAGAAATTGCCCTCATGTCAGCTAGTGCAGAACTTCACTCTGTTGCTGGACAAGAAGAAAGCAAATGCTTTTTTCATCACACAGGGTAATTCGTGGTCAGGAGTGCTGGGCCAGGGGAACTGTGCATGTGGGGTAATAAAGAGTGTTTAGTTTATTCTAACTGTGAAGTATTGGATGTGTCACCTCTCTGTACTGTTAATAGCATTTTCTTTCTGAGACACTTTTGTGACATCCTGTGATCGATTCACATTTAATTTAAATGGGTGGGTTGCATAATTGGAGCCTGGCAAATAAAAACTTTCTTGAACTGTCTCCCCTCCTGTGTAACATAGTGGACCACTGGTTTCTGCATTAGCTTCCATTGTAGCACAGTAAGATCCAGGAAGGTACACAATAGTGTATAATGCAAAGCAGAGATTTGGACACCACTCTTAAGTGTCTTCAGACCTGAATATCTGTGGATTATCTTCTTTCATCAGCTAAGTGATAACTCAAGTTTGCATCTCTGAAGATGCTCAGGTGGCACATCAGGTGCCATACCCTACAAACTGTCTCATTAATTTCAGAGTAAAGGATTATAAGAATCTAAGAAACACAACCAGTTTTTAAGAAATAATGCTGTACAAACTTTCCAATATAATAGGTACAAATGGGCTTTTCTTCAGCATCAAACATGCATGGTGTCCTGTTCCAGTGCCCTGAGTTATATGTTACTTACAGTGGACAATGCAAGGACAATCGCTTTGTGACTAGATCTGACTTACAGCCTCTTCAGATGCAGAACAAGTATCATAATGGAAACTTACTGGGCATGGCATTTATTTTGTTGTTCGTCAAAGGATTATTGTTTTAGATGTAGAAGCGTGATGGTCCTAAGGTAGTGGCATAAAAGAATCCGTTTTCTCCCCACTTTAAAACACGTACCCCCAGCATGCCCATAAAACATGGGAGGATCCTCGGTGTGGGCTTTGTCAGGGCAGATTATTCAGCCACCCTGAGTGAGCAAACAGTTACCATTTTACTATACAAGTGCAGAATGTGATTCCTTGTGGTCAGTGAGTCTGTCAGCTGGCCAGCTGGCAGCACAGCTGGCAGTGCTGCCAGCGAGGAGCTAAATTAATGCTTTCTCATTTTCTGCCCACTCCCTATGGATCCTTGGCTTTTCCTTTTTTTTCTCAAAATACCAATTTACCAAAATATCAAGTTGCTAATGCTGTTTCTGCAAATATTGAATGTCCCAAACCTGCAGCATTGTGGTCTGGGCTGCTGTTGCACAGGGTTCCTGCTTGGTCTTGTACCAGTGTGCAAACTTGTTCCCACAGTGTACTAGTGCTTGGGAATGGTCTCACAATCATGAATGAATTCATGAATAACCAAACTACAAGAAAAAATACAAGGGGAGAACAAAGGTATTTCCCACCCATGTGTTGAACATCTAGATCTGTGAAACAGAAAAGAAAAACCTTTCAGTATTCTCTATATGATCAGAAGAGGTCCCCAAGCTGAAGAGCAGTTTGGATTTGTTGGTGTTGTCCACTGAGTTCAGAGCAGCGGGTAGTACATTCCAGCTGAGTTCTGATCACACTTGAACTCAGTCTTTGGCTTATTCAGTCTCTGTTTTCTAGCTCAGGTGTGTTGCCACTTGAAATAGCAATAACCTGGTTATGGCATTTGCTGACAAAGTTGGAATTGGACAGTTGCTGAAAATCAACCCAGAAAAAGAGTAGATCACTGAATCAGTCCTAGCCAAAATGCAGCAGTGGTTCCTTAACATACCACCTCTTCCTTTTTAGTAATGACATATACATTTTTACATACATCACATCTTTTTTTCCTCCCAAGTGTCTGTGCTAAATATGCAAAGAAGTGGTGGTAATGAATCCTGAGCCCTTGGATGAAGTTGACAGAGTTTTCACAATGTTTTCCAGTGTGGGTGAATAAATGTGTGAGTTTAGACAAGTCTGATCAATCTCTTTGTGCCATTGAGAGGTTTTCAACACTTCTATACCTTGCACCACAAGGCTGCCAGTCTGCTGCAAGAGACTTGTTTGGCTCAGCATTTGTCTGCATGGTTTAATGGCAGGGAGCTGATTCTCCTCTTCCCAGAAGAATCATCACAGTGGCAGGTCTTCAGTGACAGATCAAACCTTCCCCTATGTGTACCTTTGCTGGCCCCTGTCTGAAGGGTCTGTGGCACAGAGAGGGCTTGCCATGTACTGCAGAGTGTCCCTGCTTGGCAGGGAAGTTCTGAGGGGAGTACAGCCCTTACCATTGGGGGTACAGAGTAAAGGCAGGCATGCCATGCTGCCCTGAGGTGACTGGGGACTGCTTAATACGTTTGGTAGTTATTTAAAAACAGAGCTGATTTTACTGAAACTATTTTTGCCCATTTAGGTTTTTCTGGAGCGCTTAGGCAATAGTTGCCCATTCATTATGGTGTAAATGTAGATTTACATTTACTGTAGATTCTGGCCATAAGAAAGAGACTGTTTCTTCTGTCAGAGAAAATATGTTATTCTTCCCCAGGTTACTTCAGTGCTTTATTTACCCACACAAAATTATTTCCCAGTCTTATTTGGCAAATGGCACTTCAATGAGTTTTCACAAGCCGTTTCAGGCCAGAGTGTGAGCCTCATTACAATGTTCATAAAACATTCTTTATAAACAAACCATTTTCTTGAAAAACAGAATGTTCCAGATACTAAATCTAATTTATTGTAGTTTCCTTTGTGAGCTATTCTTTGAGAACAATGACTTGGGTTGGGTCTTAGCAAATATTTCAGAAAGCCAGCTGAAGATCTAATTTCCACCTGAAACAAAGTTAACACAACCTTTCAATTAAGGAATGATTATTCTGGAGGAAGTTTCTATTTTACTTCAATATTTTGCCTTGCCTATACAGTCAGAAATCAGAAACATAGGAATGTATATTATTACTGGCAAATGTCTGACGTCAGATTCACCTGCTGTTCAGGTGTCCTAATAGAAGCCTCATATATTTTTAATCAACTTATTAATGAAAAACATAAAATGCTTTCTGACACATGACATTTAATCTTGAATTTATCTTTGAATTCTAGTGTTCGTCTGAAGCTGGAGGAGTACCAGAGTCACAGAAGTACATTTGCCAGTGCCTTCAATAAACCAGTCTTTTTACACTTTATCATCCAATTCGCAGCTCGCTTGAATGGTATTTGGCATCTGCAGATGAAGTGGTTCCACCATGATTGTCATTGGCTGCCCTCTGAAATGCACATTACCTGCCAGTTTCTTGACCTCAAAAAAGAGAACTCATGGAAGAGCTAAGCCTTTAATTAAATATATTCTGACAATTGTTTTAGTCACTGAAAACTATGATCTTGTTTCTATTGAATTAAAATTATAGCATTGGAGTAAAAAAATTGCAGACTTTGTGCTGGTTTGTTATAAATATAACATAATGCATACTCTGCTCTCTGTTATTAACCATATTTGAAGCACGATGCTCTCCAGTCTACAGGAGCTGTCTTGCAATCTGTGGGTAAAATTCTGTCAGACGTTGCATGTTAATATCAGTTTGCTTTCTATTCCATAGCAGTAGGTAAATGGGTGAACAAGAGGGGATGTCCTGGGTTTCATGCACTGGTGTAAAACACTTCCCTGTTTCATCTCACGTGATAAATTTTCAGTGATTAAATTGCTAGACCTTTTTTCCTCTCTGGTGCAAATGCGCTGCACTATGGTGTCATAGTCACTTCCTCAAGAGTTTGCCTTGAAGATTCAACAGTATGCTAGACAAGATTTTATTTTCTCTTGTGTCTCATAAAGCCTTGGTGGCTTCAGGTCACAGAAGTGGCTCCATTTAAGAGCTTTGTCTCTATGCCAGTTCTAATGAGTTAAGATAAACTTACAGTCCTAAACCATCACATTTCTGGGGAGGCAACAGCAATAACAGCAGTCAAGTCTCTATGAAAGGAGAAACTGAGGCAGCGATGTCATCCTGGTTCTATGACAAGAAGACAGATTCCTGGCTCACATTTACATTAATACATATCCTGCAAATTTGGCTCACCTGACATTTAAAAACAAAGAAAAATTCAAAGTTTTCTTAGAGAATGTTCTCAGTATACTAAAATTCTGATTTTCAATTTTCTTCCTAGATTTGATGGACAAGAATTGAGATGTTTGACTTAACTCATGCAAACCTACATAGTTATTTATTTTTGTGACCAATCCTTTTTTAGGATTCTCTCCTCTGAAGTCACTCTTGGGAGAGAAATCCTATTCTAGAATAGCAGTGCAGACACATAGGATATATTTGATCTCTTCTTTTAGCTCAAAGTCTGTGTTTACTGGGGAGTGACTTGTTATGCTTTGATATGTAATAGTAGTATTCCACAACCACTAAAATGTTGTCTAAAAAAGCAACCTTTTTTTATTAAGAAAAAACTCTGCATGGATCCTTTTTATATGGTTTTTGTAATCCAATTCCCACGGAAAAATTCATACTGCATAGGAAAATATAGTATTATAGAAAATTGCTAAGTTGGATGCCAAAAATACTTCAACAAATTAAAATAGAAAATAATTAAACAACAAAAAAAGGAGGACATTAGAAGAGTTTCAGGTAACTCTGTAAAGATTGCTTCCACTGCTGCTGCTCACTCATGGAGCATTTGCTTATTAATGGTTTTACTCTGAGACAACTGTGTTTTAATTAATGAAGAATTAAGTGTAGAGGTTGACAGAAATCTCCTTGGCTGACTATAAAGTCACTATGAAAAAACCCCAAAGCTCCAAACTTTGTCCATGTCCAATACTTACCATTAAACTTGAAATGAAGTTTAGTATTTTAGGGTTGATTCTCTCCACTCCCTTTTGCTCTGGAAGTGATGAACAGTGTCTTTGCCTAGTACAAACCTAGAATGAATGTTCAGCAAATACAAACAAAAGTTCATCCTCTTTTTATCCTGCTCAGCTCAAGGCTTATCTGAGGAAAAAACACGCATGGAACACTGACCCCAAAGCCACGTTCTAATGGCTCTGGGACTGACTGGCCTCCACCCTCGTTCCTGTCAGAAGGAATGTTCATGTTCGAGAAGAGTCGTAAGCTGGAGTCCCGGGAATGTCACTCTGTGCTTGCACTGGGCTCCCCTGGCACAAGCAGCGCCTGCGTGACGGATTTTCCCCTCAGACTGTGAAATTCCGCAGGGCTGGACGGTGCTGACAGACGTCGTCAGGACAAAGCGATTGATGTAAAACTGAGTGCTGGTCGCTTAAAAAGACATTGGTTTGTACTTTAATGATTTCTGAGTTTTTTGGGGTTTTTGAGCTGCAGCAGAGAACCGTGAGAAGGAAGGAATTTGTAAAGTGCCATGTTCAGTGTGGGGTTTATTTGGATATTGCGGTCTCTGAACGCTCTTTCCAGGAGTAGCTATTTGATGCCCTGCTGCTGTAACCCGGCAGCAGCTACTCCCTCACCCGCGGGAGTGAGGGAATGGTGTCAGTTGTGCCCAGCTCCCAGCACCCGAGTGTTCGCGGGCTGCTCTGCACGACAGGTACGAGGGAAGTGCTCCGAGCACTGCGCGGCTTTGGCGAGACTCGTGGGGTCGGGAAACCCAAGCCTTGAAAGGATCCGCTATGGTTCAAGGGGCGCCATGTCAGCGTCTAAGGACGAGTGCGAAGGACGACGGTGTGTCAGCACACGGCCGAGAACAGAAACGGGAACGAACAAGAACCACCTCCAGCCCAGAAGGGACGGCGACCCAAGGGATCATTCCCCGCCCCGACGG